TTCACTAGCCTTCGGATCCCTTTTCGCTTTTCTTCCTATTCTCCAAATGTTCACCACACTTCGAAAGCAAAACAAATATCAGACGAAAGAGTAGGAATTGCCTGACAAGTACTACACTTCATACTATGGCAAAAACCTTACAGACATGTTAGAAATTACCTGTAGTTGTAGTCATTGATATCAATTATACTTCCTTTCCAGTCAACCATCGCAATTAATTGCACTACGGTAGGATACAAATTCGCGGGATAGAGCTGAGCCATCAATGCCATTGCGAAAATGAGCAATGAAGTAGATGGAACAGTGTCGCCGCGTCTGAATGAGAGGAATTAACCTCTGAAAAGTGAGTTGATATGATCTTGTATGTGTCGAGAGGAGTGGTCTTAGGAGTAGCATTCCCAGACACGACTAATGCTTACAAATATAGAGGTAATAGAGAATGCCAGTCAAGCTGCCTACCCAACAGGAATTCCTTCTACAGGTAGAGAGCCAACTGAACCTTCGTCGCGAATTTTCGCTAGAACAGCTTGCAAAAGATGAAGAAGCCATTCACTTTCTAAAATTCCCAACTCGTAAATTGTTACTTTACTAGACGAAACTGCAAATCCTACCTAAATCAAACATGTCACTGTTCTTCTGTGTAAGAACCTCAATTGAATTCAATGGCCCCATGAGGAACTCCATCTGCAGCGGATCCTCTTCTGGACTGAATACGAAAAGAATGGAGGAAGCGGTATGATAAACTTTAAAAAGCTTCAAAAGGCCGAATGATATATTGTAGGAAACTGTCTACCTAAGTATCTTAGTCCGATTGAAGAAGGGTCGCAGTCCTCCCCAACGCATGATTTTTGTTGTTGAACTCATAATACGTGCTTGAGATCTGTCATTTCTAGTGGTGAGCGCGAAGGAGTAAATGAGGGACTGGCCAACAAGTCGAACACGATGTGCTATATGAGACGTCTAAAATTTCAATGTATGCTAATAAAGCGGCTATTTGCGAAGGTAAACCAAAAACTTAGTGATATTACCCTAAATTCCTTCTTAAAAATTCACCTTTGGATCTGTATAGAGGTTCAAATATTCCTGCGTGAGTTGCTTTGAATGTGGATCATCTATAGAAAGGAGAATAAACAGCAGCACTGTGTATAGCTCCAATGCTGGCAGTGGATCTGATACATTGACAGGAGCACTCACAGCAGCAGCAGCAGTTACTTCTCTATGCAAGAAGGACATGATTCCCACCGAACTTCCGAATTCTAAATACGTATATAGACTTGATGTAATGGGGTCCAAGTTAAATGCAAAAAAAA